ACGAATCATTCTCCTTAAATAAAAAATAACTTACATCATTTTAATAATTTCACAACTTTTGCTAAAACTCTTAATTAGGTTTTTTGATAAAAACCGGTAAATATTTTCTTGTTGCCCATCCCTTATTTGCAGCATAATGTATTTGACATCTGTCAAAGACAACTTTAAAATTATTAACGATTTCATTTTTATTTTGTAATAAAGTTTTTGTTCCAAAAACTAAACTTTGGCGGAATCGTCCGTGGTAGTTGCCATTGGAAGGAAAAAATGAAGTTTTTTAGTGTCGACTCCTTTGAAACATAAAATAAATGTCCCATTTTAAAGCAAGAACTAATTATCGTCATTGCTTTTTGTTGACCATCTCATAGGTTAGGGCGCTGTAACTGCCGGTTAGCGCAAAATAACTCCTTAACTAATGCATTACGTAACTTATAGTGTTTTGTTGATTTCTGAGGTAACCAACATTTTAAATATTAGTAGGATACTGTAGTAAGAAATCCTATATCTAGTCAAAATTTAGACGAAGTAAAAACACAAATTTGAGAACGTCGGTGGCTAATAAGTCAAGCCCTTGACTTGCAATCTGCATTACCTGGGTTCGAATGCCGCCGTGTACCAATGTGTCTTTCGATTTCCGATTTGCATATGTACATTTATCTCACGTTCTTGTGGTGAAGGAAAACATCGTGATGCAACCTGCATATATCTGAGAAGAAATTCAAAAGATATGTATGAAGTCGACCAACCCGCACTTGGCCTTGGTTGACTATGGTCTAATCATCCATAACTTAGGGTAGGCTCCGAGTCCCTCGGGAGGGGACGTATCGTGAGCTGATGATGATGATGATGAAAAAACACAAAGTTTTCCAAATAAGGATCACATTATTACGAAGAAAAGCAATATTTTGTAAGGAAGAAGAATAATAAACCTAACAAAAGTTTTAATCATCTTTAAAGAGTTTATAAAAAAGATATAAATGTGTAGTCACCGCATCTATGAGAGGGTTCGTCGACCGGGAAAGGGTGTCAATGGGGTGGGTATCTACGGGGTAATGGGGTAACGTCTTTGCAATAAACTTGGTATATCGCATACATCAGGGGTGCCAAACGATTGAATGACACGAAATTACAAAGATAATTAATTTTGTTTCGAAATTATCATCATCATCAGCTCACTATACGTCCCCACCGAGGGGCTCGGAGCCTACCCTAAGTTAAGGGTGACTAGGACATAGTCAACCACACTGGCCAAGTGCGGGTTAACTTCACACATATCTTTGTATTTCTTGTCAGATATGTGCAGGTTGCATCACGATGTTTTCCTTCAGCGTAAAAACGTCGGATAAATGTACATATGTGAATCGGAAATGGAAAAACACATTGGTACATGGCGGGATTCGAACCCAGGACCTGCAGATTGCAAGTCAAGTGCTTGACCACTGAGCCACCGACGCGCTTTCGAAATTGAATTACTATAAAATTTTACTCTAGAATTTTACCGAGTCATATGTAAAATACTTATATGTATTATAAAACTTACTTATTTTTTATATATAAAAAAAAGTATGGAATGACTGTTAAAGAGGATATGCGTAAGAAGGGGGTAGACTGGTAGAGATGTAAGGAGGAGTAGTACATACTGTGCCGACCCTCGATAGGGATAAGGGCAGGTTGATGATGATATGTAAAATATTTATTTTTGTACAAGCACTCCAACATGGGTATCAAATGAAGCCTTGATAAATAGAATATAAATCACCATGTCCAATCCAAGATGGCTAAGTTGGAATTGAATAATTTTATTATATAGCGTAAAATGCTATACTTTTCCGTTATGTTTTTTTCTAATCAAGAAAGTGACAAACGAATCACTTTTTAAACGTGTTGTAACAAAACAGCTTTAAACGTTTATAATAAAACGAAAATAGCATAGCGATAGTTTTAAATCTGTAAAATTAAAAAGTAATAGAATTTCTTGAGAAATTTTACATACCCCTGGTTTTCATGACAGCACGGAAAACGCGGGAGCTTTGACATAACAGGACGTAGCTAGAAGCACAGATAATATACTAGTAAAAGCTACATTTTCTTAATTGTCTATTGTCCATTTACAGCTAAATGGCGCCCGTTGCTTTGGGTGTGTCTATGCATCGACCTATGCAATCGTCTGCTGTCTGTTTGGTTTCAATTTATGTTTTTACCGTAAAAAGTTTTTTCGAGTTATAAATACAGGTGAAATAAATAAATTTGAAATATCCACTTGAACACTACAACCAACACATTTTTTGATACTGAGATATACTTAAATAAAATATCAAGTACGTTTATAATCGAGTATAATTTACGTCTTAAATTTTAAGTAGTGAGCCCCTTAGATATCATTTAAACAACAATTTGTGGTCTCGTATACTCCAATTACTAGCAATTAGTTTAATGAACAGTTAATTTACTATCGTATTCTTTATCTTGCCTGCTACTAACTTCACATCTCAAGTTCCACAGCCAGAATCTTTTTTCTTGTTGCTTAAAACGAAAAACTATTTTCTTGTCTTGATATCTGTAAGTCCGCGTTTGTTTCGGGTAGTGTTCGAAATGGCTGTACCGATTTTGATAGACTTTGACGGGAAGGTAGCTTACATACGCGGCAATTTTATAGGGAGCTTTATAAATTATGCGCTGCCGCAGCCGGGGGTGATCGCTAGTTATAACAACCAAAAGAATAATATATTTCTACACGTGTATCTACACTCGAGACTCACGGTTACAATGTTGGAAGGTATTTGCAAAGATGTTGCAAAATTGAAACCTACGTTCTCAGTATATAGGTCACATGCTTGTTATTATAACATAAACAAGGAGAGTGCATAAATAATTTGATTAGGTCCAGAGCCGTGTTTGTCGGGCACAGTTTACCTCCGCGCAATCACCTTCGCAAACAAGTCGCGATTGCGGCGCGCGAGCCCAGTGCTACAAACATTGCCGAGTAAATAATTGCTTTTGACGTATATAGATGTCATTATGTTGGTATTATATTAACATTAACGAGACTTTGGCTACATAAAATCGTTTATAGAAATCATAGGATTCAATTTAATACTCTAACATACTCGAAACTTCGATAGAATCGAACTGCATTTTAAGAAGATATAGAACAGGGGTGGCAACGATCGACCTTTCGATTGGTCAAAGAAATAATATAATTACGTAAAACATAACGTAGCATATCGTACAGAGTTTCGTCACTAAACAGTAGATATTTAGTCGAATCAAATTGGCTATTCCGGGATAGAAGTTCTTTAGTTTGAACCAGTTTGAACATTACGAAATAATAAGTAAAACAATACTTTCATTTAATTCTTTCATTATTTACACAGAATTGAGTTCACAATCGTTCGGTGGCATTACGATTGAAACGAAAAAATTAATTGACATAACAAGTGGTCAATAGAAACAGACGCAGTTAATAAAATCCCCATCGAATGTTCTCGGAAGCGATCGTAAAACATAAACAGCAATTGTCGGAATTAAGCTTTGCCTTGGTAATATTCAGAGGTCGTATTTCGTTTACGATCTATTTTAACCAATAAAAAAGACCACACATGTTGTATTTGAACTGTTATGATTTTTAATCGATTAAGTTTTTCAGTTTTAAATTTTCAATACATTATAATGAGCTTGGTTTGTTAATAATTGTCAAAATTATAAAAAGTTTTCCTCTATTACCCAAAAAACAATCAATTTGTCTCTGGTCTCTAATAAGTCGAATAACGAAAAAAAATTGGCGGGAAATTTTATCTGTCAAAAAGGTCGATGAGTTAATAGAATCTGACATTTATTCACGCAACCTTACAAAGAAAATAAGTTGTAAATTGTAATATTTATTTCATAAGTAAGTCATTATACGGCAACTAATATTATAAACAGAAAATCAACAAGAACCAAAGATAATAACGATTTGTTACAGATTATACTAACCAGAGAGTACTTAACAGATCTTATTACTGTCAATAAATAAAACATTTAATACCCTCATTAAACTATTCGCTACAATGTGGGCAGAATAAAGTTATGCTCCGACAAACTTATCTAGATCAGTAAGAGGCGCTGTTATCGCTGTTATTTCTGTCAGAAAATAACAATAATATAATAAATATAGGCAAATAGTTTGACACACAAGACAAGACGAGACAGCAACAGTCTGACAAAGATCCTGTGGTACTTTTTTGACAGTCAGGAGTTTGGTATTAAGCTATAATAATTTATTATCACATATGGCCGCCGCGAGAGATAAGTTTGTTTTATATCTATTTAAACAGCCACGTGGACTGGACTATTATCCAATGAACTGCACAATGCAAGGTCACAGATTAGCAAAATTGCCTTTTGAACATTGTGCAGATTCCAGGAATAGACGGGTGCGGCAATGACAACAGAATAAATCTAAACGAAGGACACATTTAAGGTCGTATTAATATATGTCACCGTAGAATTGTAAATCCCGTGCCCTTGCAATTTATCTAGACAAATTGCATATCAAATTCATTCAGTGACGTTTTCTACTTTGTAAAGATTAGACATGGAGGTCGATTGGTTTAAAGTTTTTTTTTTTCAAAAAAGTAACTGGCAACCAGTCTGTTAAAGTAAATAAAAAGACGTTAAGTAAAAAGTTTTTATTTGGCAAGATCCAGCCTTTAATACAATTAGAAAAAAAATGACTTAGTTAATTAGAGTGCCTCAAAAATACGGCAAGTTTAAGTACATATTATTATTAGAGATTTTTTTCACTTATTTCTAATAAAAAAAGGAATAAATTAGTTTAATTATTATGTAAAATTGTTGCGAATAAATCGTATAAAGAACAAAATATCGTTACAAAAATAACATTCTGAATGGAAAAAAAATCAATATGATACCGCAAATTTCTTGCAAATACATATTACATAAACATTATATTTTAGTATATATCAAAAATCTTAAGACTAGTAATTAAAAAAGTGCAAAAATAAATAATATTATTAAAATTATATCTTCTAACATTGTAAAAGATGTTATTTGGATATTGATGCTTTGGGTTGCGTTTGACAATTAGAAAAAACTACTCTGAGGATTTTAAACGTGATTTCGATATCAAAGCGTATATTAAAATACGCGTTACCAATTTGATTTTATTCGATACTTTTCGAATAAAACCAAACTAATTTTCAAGATTTTATATCTTTTGTTACTTATCTAGAAATTTTCATTCTAAAGGTAAACGTCAATTATTCCGCGCCGGACGTATCGCACGCACGGCGCGCAACGGATTTTTGTTTGCTTTGTATAATTTTACATAGCGCTGCGTTCATCATCCACGTCGCTCGTAACAAAAGACAAAACAAATCTATTTAATCCGTTCGGTGCGTCCGGTTCGGGCCAGTGGATGCGTACCTTTAGAATATATTTGACGTCTTTTGTGTCTGTATTGTTTTTGACGAAACTCTTAACATATCTCTGTTAATAAGTTTAAACAGAACCATAAACACTTGACATTGGACCAATCCAATGAGGGACATAAACAAGAAACAGACAGACAGACAACTATCTCTGTTTTTTCAATGATAATTTCTGAGAGAAATATGTTTATCACATGTTTTGTTGTAGAAATTTTTTCTCATTAATGCAATTCTCTAATTCGTCGTGATAATTGTCAATTTTCGCGTCCAATCCTGGACTTTGTACTTCGAAGCTGTCACCTGTTATTATTTTCTCTTGATTCAACGTTGAATCGAATCTAACTTTCTTTCCTGGTGTATTTGGTTTTGTGTTTGTTTCATTATTATCATTGTTTCGTTCTTTAAGTGGAGTTACGTTCATATTAAGTTTTGTATTTCTTATTGTTTTTATAGTTTCATATTGATTTTCATCTTCTAATTCCTCAATTTCTATTTCATCAGAATTATCCAAATTCAATCCGGGATTTTCTATTCCAGATTCTTTTACCGGAGTTTTTTGTTTAGGTTGTTTACGTGGCACTTCATAAGGATTTAAAGTAACATTATGTTCAACTTTTTCACTTTTAAATGTTTTTTTTAATGTCTTCATAACTTTTTTCGATAGTTTATTAATTTTGAATCTATTTTTCATATCTTTCTTACTATCATTTGAATCTGTTGAAAAGTTAACATCGTTCTTATTAAGATTCAATATGTCTACCGCACTAAATCTTGATACATCATGGCCTAGGATTTTGCTTTGTTTGTTATAATTATAACCGCTATTTGATTCTTCTATATTTTCATAAATAGGACTGTCTGCTCTATAACTGTCAATATTTTCATATTCATTATGTATATTTACATTAGATTCGTTGACTGAAGATATAGTACTGTTAGTATCGCCAGTGAACAACGTACGTGGTACTATATTTCTTACCGGAACAGTATTTGTTAGCGGTCTGGTTATAGCTTCCATGTTATATTCAATATCAGATATTGATATATCATTTGTGAATGGATTTTCTGTATTTATTTCAATGTTTGTTTTTAAATTAGGATCTAAAAATGGATTAGTACATTTCTTTGGTATTCGTTTCTTCTTTGTGACGATTGTTATAGTTTTGATTTCCATTATATTACTTTCGTTTAAATCATCATCTAAATATAATGATTGGTTTTGATCTGACGGTGAATTTAATGCAAGACGATCAATGAAGCTTAAATTTAAATTATTATTAACAAATATTTGTTTTGTTAAATTGCTTTGTATATTTACATTGTTGGATATGTCTGCATCTAGATCTGTTGTAACTGGATTTAATGATCTTTGTTCTATAATTGATATTCCTGAATCAGATTCGGCTGGACTTAAACTCAAATCTGTGTTATTTTGTATTTCTAATACATTTACTTTATTTATTGGATCTGTTTGTTGTTTTATTTCAGTCAAATTGGCATATAAAGGTTCACTGCACTGTGTGGGATTTTCATTATTAACTTTAATTGTACTTTCATATGTCCTGACATTTTTACGAACATTTTCTAGTTCCCTTACTAAAAATTCATTAACAGCTGCCTTACTGATACCTAAATCTAAAGCAGTGTTTTCAAATGCAACTATATCACAGCTTTTAGTTCTCTTACGTCGCTTTCCAGGTGTTATTTCCATTGCGTTGTTGCACATAGGATCTTCGTTAGCGAGCAGATCTAAAGCAGGGTTCAGGAAAACGTTGGAACTTGGTACTATTCTTTTTCTTTTATTTTTCAAATTAGCTTTTACTTCGAATATGTTGTTGTCCACAGGTTCCATGGTAAACTGGAAAAAATGATGCTATTTTTAAACTTATGATAATATTAAAAACCTGTAAATATGGTCAGTTTCTTTAAACACAATAATTCAAAAAGTAAATCAAAATAAGTAGTTGCTACCCCAGTAAATTGTTAAAATTATTAAAAACAATGAATGTAACATAATCGTATAAGACGGGAATGTTCTGTATGTCTTTAGGGTACAAAGAGGGCTCTTAAATTTTTTTTCTTTCATCAAAAAGTTCTGGATGTTACTTACCCATTTATTAGAAAAAACAACTGTAGTTTCTTTGACAAAACTATCTGATTAAGATCACAGTATTAATTGATTCCACCTTTAACTAATTATACTTGTTCTTATTTCAATTTTCATTTATAATTCACCTTTAAGATTTTCAAAACAAATGCTTTTAATCAACGGCAGGTGTTCGGGGACGGTTACACTTTTGACAGCTGTTCGAAGTTGCCATTAGGAAAATCATTTCTGAATTAGTGATAAAAGATTTAAGGACATAGCTTTAAGAAATTAGAAACATTTATTACACAAGTTAGGTGTGAAAAAATTAAGGAACTGGGTATTTACCGGTTTTCAGGTTTTTTTATTTGTTCCTGTGAAAATTACAAAAAAAACAGTAACTTCGTTCAACTTTTAAAAATTCCAGTATTTGAAAACTAGATGGCGCTGTCCTGACTGGACAGCGCCATCGAAATTTTACGAAAAAGCTAACTTTGAAATTGTTATTTTCATGAGAAACATTTAGATAGCACCATTATTGTTTCCTGCAGGTAAATAAAAATTATGTTTCCTTTACTTTCTTTTGACTGATACTCAAAAGATACTTTAAAGAGAAGATTATTTAATGAAAAACACTCAATGTAAATACAATTTTAATGCAACAAAATCACAATTTACGGTTACCGGAACCAATATCACAAATAACAACATATCACAACAGGACTGTGTAACTATTAAATAATATTTAAGTAAAATTTAACTAAAAAAAACCAACACATTAAAATATAAAACACCTTCACCAACAATTAACCTATTATCAAGCAAAATATGGAATATATTCATTTTACTATCAGTGGGTTTCTAATACTAAAATGTCTGTAACATATCGTCATCCTTGTCATTATCTTTGACAAAACAGAGTTAACAATGTTTAAAACGAAGATTTTGGTCTAAGAAACCCACTGTAAATGTAACTATTTGTACGAATATAATTCAGCATTAAATATACAAATTTTATAAACAGTTGATTTGTTTTACAAAAATTTGTAAATCAATTTGTGATTCATAAACGAGATAAAAATTCGCAAATATTCATGAGTGATAGCTTTCTCTCTTTTTTGTACATTTAATGTTAAATAATGTAGGAATACTAATTACTTATGCATATGTTTAAATTAAAAAAAGAAACAATTTAAAATACATCGATAAGAATCCATTTTAATTTAAATTGAACGAAAATTTTACAAAACATTATCTCGTTATTTTTTTTAAATATATTTTTAAACAAGCTATACATAACAAAAACTGTCCAATTTTACTACTAATAAATTGTCAGGCAAAGCCAGATCTGTTAAATGTCATGGTCGTTTTTAATATGTCATTTAATTTGAACAATCAATCACAGTGAAAATAATTTACATTATAATTTTGCCTACATTAAAGACTCGTCTAATATTATCTTTTATATTTCTCTTTTATTTAATGATAAAAAAATTAAATCCGTTATAAAATAAAGGTAAAAATATATCCTTTACAATCATTTTACTATGCATATACATTTAAATTGTACCTAATATTTTTCTTCACAAAAAAATATACCCGGCCAACTTGACACGTGGATAACTAGACTACTCTTTTATCCGACGTGCCAACTCGCAACAAAATAAATTACGTAATTTTTCACACAATTTGGAAGATTAGATATAAATATATAATTACTAAGGTAATTATAATTTTTTTATTTTTCATGGCAGTGTTTTTTTTTCTTTACTAATACTGCATTTTTAAAAAATAGTGTTGCCAGTTGCATTTTCTAATCATAACTAGGAATGTTTTTTTTTATCTTGTACAAATAATGAAGGATCGATATTATTATACGGACGTATGAAAAAATATTAATTTTAATTGACTAATCTTGAAATGCAAATAAAATATTAATTGACTTTCATCTAAATTACGATTAAAAATTACTGTGGTCCAATTTATGGTCTAAAAATTATATAATTTTCATTTAATTAGACATATTTTTTAATCTAATGACAAAATAGCTTGCATTATACTAAATATTTTATACCAAAGAATAAGATTTCAAGTAAATTCAAATAAAAATGTTTTTAAAAATGAGTCTTCGATTTCAAGCATAGAAAAAAAAATAACTCTATGGTAACTCAGAGTTACTACTTAAGGCGTTCGTTATATATTAATTTCAAAAGACAGGACTTTGGTAATAAGATTTATCTGAAAAACGATATCTTATCTTTTTTAATAGATAAAGAATAATAAAATTAATTATATAATTATCAATCAAATCGTTTGATAAAAATGATAACACATATATGCAATATCAAATACTAAAATTATAAATTTAATATACTAACAAAATCACCCGACTTTGCTTTAGTTTTAAGAAAAAATGGTATCTCACAAAAACTTCACTAAATTCAAATCTCGATAAGAGAGACTCTGATAATAATAAACCTTTTTTATATTTATAATGTTAGGAAAAAAATCCGACATGCCGGAGTACTGGCGCAACTAGCCTTACTAAAATGTCGACGTTTGCGTCCCCTCACTATTCATTCTGACACTGGACTTTGTAACGAAAGCACGTCATTCGCGCTAAAGGATTTTAACTATTGATGTCTACAGAAATTTAGGTATGAAAATAAAATAAAAAATAAAAAGCTAGTCTAAGAGACATTGATATTTTTGCTTATAGATGTTTCTTTCTTACTTGAGTTACTCTTATGGAGGGCTTTCGTTGAATGATCTTCATTTTATAGAGATTTTCCTTTATCGAGGTGTGACTGTATATACATATTAATTTGGAGATAAAAATATTTTTCAGATAAATATATGAAATTGCGCTATAACAAATATTTATGTAATTTGACACTTGTGTTTATGTCTTTTTTGGAATTCATTTACCGTTGGTTTCTGAGACCAAAATATTATGTCTAAAACATATTTCAAATGGAGAGTTTGGTCTCAGAAACCCACTATTATATTAAGATATATTTATTTGAATATAGAAATTAAAAAAGCATCGCTTAAGTACTCAAGAGGATGGAATGATTTTAATATTCCTAATTTTTTTTCTATTTAATCTATTTCTAGATTTTTAAAGGCTTTTTCCATAGCCTTATCTCGTTTTTTATCTGGCAGAGCTTCGATCCTCTGATGCTCTTCAGCTTTGAAGTAAGGCTCCAAGTCTTGGAGTTGTTGCATGCAGCGTTTGTGTAGCGTCTGGGTATCAGGTAAGGTTCCACCATGGTCTGGAGGTAAAGCCGATCTGGGGACTACAGACTCGTAGAACTTCTCCAGATCTTCGTTTTTGTGGTGGAATTTTATCTGAAGATGTCAAAATGTAAAAGAAATTGTTTAGTAAAGATTCATATTACAGTAATCTGAAATTTTTTATAGATTTTTATTAGAATTAAGGGATCAGAATATTGTCGAAACAAATATACATTTTTTTTGTTTTTTTTTTAAAGCTATATGGTTTTAAAGATGACGTATGTCTTCTGTGTGGCATTGCATTGACCCAGCGGATTATTCGTGCATCCTTTAGTAGACCACTGTTATAAACTTTATTCATCTCACCATATCAAAGAATTTCTTATCCATGAACGGCCGGATTAGCATCAAGAGTTTGTCCAGCACGGGTTCCGTATTGAACACGTGAATAGCCTTCATACGTACTGGCAACGCCTCCTGCACGTACTGGAAGAACTTGCGTAAGGATCTGCAATTGTAATATTTCAAATAAGGGAACATACCCATACTACGTGACCTATTTTTTTTACCACCCCCCTCCCCCTTTAACTTTTATGTAGTAATTCATAATTAAATTACTAGGGAATTATGTATTACGAGAAAAAAAAACAACTAACGACTACGTGACTGAAATCTGAGCCACTCCCACCGCTCCTGTGACTGACCGTAGTATTTTAAGGTCGTTGCAATTTCGCTGAGGTTGGATTTCGTGATTGGTGATAGATTAAGAAGATAGATAGATTAATTAGGTTTGGTATGGGGGAAGAAAATATAACGCGTTGACATAGAATGTTATAAGAATAGGGAGATGACAATATAGATGATAAAAAAAACAAAGTTACATGTCGTGTACCGTACTCGCTTACGTTCACTTAGTGGAAAAGGGTCTTTAGCGACTTTGAATATATTTTTTGCAGTAGCAACCGATATCTATACAAATAAACAAGATAAATAAACAACTCCTTATCTGTAAATAACGTGATTAACATAAAAGCGTGAAAATACGACTGAAAAAACACAACTTTTAAAACAATACTAATTTATTCATCGATGTTTTTCTTATTCACAGAGTTTTTAACCCTTCAGTTTTATGTATTTTTATATATTTGAACTGTTTCTTGACCGCGTATGTCCTTATTTGTTTACTTGTAGGGTTCCGTATCTCGAAAGGAAAAAAACGGAACCCTTATAGGATCACTTTGTTGTCCGTCCGTAGGTCAAGACCCTTTTTCTCCAAAACGCGTGAAGGTATCAAGCTGGCATTTATTTAGTACAATAATAGCTTTCGCCTGCGACTCCGTCTTTTGGACTATGTTCTATATGTATGCCAAGTTTCCGTTCGTTCAGCCGTTCTGAAAATACCTTTTTACAAACATCCATCCATCTAAACATTCGCATTTATAATTTTAGTAAGATATTAATTTTTGAGCACAAATCATATTATATTATATTTCATGTAAGATTTAGTGCCTTGGACTCATAAAAACTGGTTAAATATTAACATTTGAATGATAGCAAAAAATTATTACGTGCGAAAAGTTTTTTGGCACTTCATATAAGGATGTGTTATTAAATATAACATATTTTATTAAATTATTCAAATTTTCGTGAGACATTATAATAAACTTAAAAAAAAACGGCTAAACACTGTGTGAGCGACGACCCGCGTCTGCGAAATAATACCAGTACCACTCATCCTGATGAAGGTTCCCCGATGGGCCGAAACTAGTCGGTGTCACCGGACGTATATACGTCAGTACGAAGTTTAACATATTTTATATTTATACTCCGATAGTTATCGCCTACGACTCTTTTATTATTTTAAAGGGAAAACATAAATTTTGACCTTATCAGCTATATCTAAAACTATTGAACAATATCGATCTAGAAAATGTCTATTATATAATTCTTATAAATGCCTTTAGGCTTATAAAAAGAAAATTACTGCAATACAAAAAAAAAATAAAAAAAAAATTTCAAAAATTTTTTTTTTAAATTTTTTCAAAATTTTTTTTTCAAATTTTTTTCATTTTTTTTTATCATATTTATATTCGATTGCCATACCACATACAGTGTGTAACCCAAATTAAATTTAAACCGTTCGGTAGTAAAGACCTACAATAAGGTAATATTCCTTCAAAATGACATTGCACTTTGGCCTTTACATGTACACGCAATAAGTGTCATGGCCATATACAAAGTTAAACTGGTCAACTATGTTCTTTTGACGTAAAAATATTGTAAACTAGTGTGTACAATATTTTTAAAATTTCATCCGCACGAAATTATAAAAAAAACAGATATACACTATGTTCTAAATCTATGACTTTCATTAAGATCCGTTGAACCGTTCTGGAGATAGATTCTAACAAACATACATATAAACATTCGCATTTATTAGTAAGAATAAGGTAAAATTTGATTTGCTAATTTAAAAAAAAATAATATGATACGTAACATCTTATTAATAAACAAAACAATTATCAAAATCAAACGTCAAGGAAAAGAGCTACGAAGTAACAAAAAAATGACGAATTAAGAAACTTGATATTAAAGTAGGCAATAAAATGTATATATACATATACAAAAAAAGTTTAGAAATATTTAATATCTATCATAATACAGTTAATATAAAATAATTACTTAAATTTTCATTTCCTTAAATAAAAAAAAATAGTTACGTAAAAAAAAAATTGAAACGCAATATCTTTATTAATGGACAGGCATTTAAAACGGAGAAGCAAAAAGTTATTTTTAATTAAAAAAAAATTAAACATAAATTATGTTTGAATTTTTATCAAATATTATATACATCCTGCATACCTTTGCTTGTCCTTTTGAAAGCTAAAACATATAATTATATATACATATAGTAGAGACATAACAAGATTATAAAGCTCAAAGCTTAATCGTCATCATCATCAGCTCACTATATGTCCCCACCGAGGGGCTCGGAGCCTACCCTAACCTAAGGGTGATTAGGTCATAGTCAACCACGCTGGCCAGGTACGCGTTGGTTGACTACAATACAATTTTAATAGCGAACAATAAAATTACGTTAAAAAATATATATATTTTGAAATAATATACCATTATAATTACATACAGTCAAACCTAGATAAGGGAGAAACTATAAAGGAGTCATTGACCCAAAAGACGAACCCATAAGTGAGCAACTTATGTTAAAGAGACAAGTCTGATCGAGAAAAAAATTGCGATCCCTTAAACTCTCTTTCATCCAGGTTCGACTATATACTAATTTCATGATGTAAATAAAACAACGTAATATTAGTAATATAAACTACGCAAATATTAACAAAAGTTAACACGTTTAATACCATAAATTCACCATTGGTTTCTAAGACCAAAGACTCTGTTAACATATCGTCATCCCTTTCATTATTATTAACATATTAGAGATAACAATATGTTTTCAACGTGGATATTGGTCTCGGAAACCCACGGTTAATGTTAAAGCATACTCACGATAAGCCCACTCTAGTGAGATGTCCCAGTTTGACACCTCGCATATCAAACAGGAATATGTACCCAGGCTGGGGACCTCTTTTGTATAAGCATGCATCTGGAAATATATAAAAAAGTTATATGACGTCGCAAATCTTAAAACAAGAGACTTGATAAAAGGAAATAAAATTGTTTTTATGGAACAGTAGAGTCGCCCGTGTGTACTTTTTAGAAGCCTATGTGTTCTTCCAGACTATGTCCTACATCTATGTAAAATTCCAGCTTGATCCATGCAGCATTTCTGGAGATACCTTCTAACAAACATCCATCCAAAAAAAACTATAATGTCATCTCGCTCATTTACATTGATAAAAAAGAGATAACTATAGATTCAATCGTTTCGCCTGTTGTATACTTTTTTAAATGGACCGGTCTTTCGTCAATTCCCTATAACAAGTTATAATTTCAAGTAGTTTTCCAACAATGCTAGCTACCAGAGTAAATAACCATAATTGATGATTAATATCCTGGTTTAAAACATAAATTACAATGCAATTAAATATGTTAGTAACCAGTAACAATGGGAATAAACAAATTGCCTAACAATCATTATTACGGTCAATTTTTCATTGCGACAAAGGTTTGCTGAAATCGTTATTTTGTCCGACAAACAAAAGGGTTATTGTTCGCAAGTATAAATGTAGACAGAGCATCGGTGGCTCAAGGGTTAAGCACTTGACGTGTAATCTGCAGTCCTGGATTCGAATCCCGCTATATACCAATGTTTTTCGATTTACATATGTATATTTCTCCGAAGTTACAGTAATGGAAAACATCGTGATGCAACCTGCAAATATCTGCGAAGCAATTTAAATATATGTGTGAAGTCACTCCGCACTGGACCAGCTTACTATGGCCTAGTCACTCCTAACTTAGGGTAGTCACCGAGTCTCTAAGTGGGGTCATCTAATAATCTGATGATGTGTGTAGAGAAAAGTTTTCTCTCGGTTGTATCAAAGAGAGTGAGAGGGATAGCAAATATATTACAATCAAGTGCAATTAAAATGATATTGCTTCGTTCCTACTTAAATGCGTCTGTTAGTTTGAATATTCACATACAAATAGGCACAAAATATCACGGCTTATAGCCTCTCCATTTATAGAGGTCAGTTTAAGAATGTCACTGTAGGGTTATAAAAGGTCGCTTGAGTTAAGTTGAAAAGAAAAAAAAAATGCACATTAATTTAAATTTCCTGACAACGTTCACCTTCACCTTATCTGAATATTCCGATGATTTTTGCAACATAACAAAGAAAAACAAGGAAGTTTACATGAAACAATTACAGCCAGTTTCCTTCATTGTGAAGTTAATAAGTATACATTATTCTTAAAATTTTAACTTAAAAATCAAGGCCTAAGTAATACGGAAAGGTCCAAATGGAACAATTTATCTTGAAAAAGCTTTCTTAAATGGGCATCAACACAAAACAACAGCTATCGCCCGCGAATCCGCCAAGAAAAAAAAAACTTAATTTGTAGCCAATGTGTTCTTCCAGTTCGCTCTATCTTGGGTTCTGCGTTTAGTCTCGGGCCATTCAGCCCAACTGCCTTCATGTCGGCAGCTACTGAGCACCGCCAAGTTTGTTTAGGACGGCCACGTCTAGAACCGTGTGACCGATCCATGACCACTTGCGGTATTTTATTTGCTGACCAATCGGCTGCTCTCTACTACGTACCAGGAGTTCTTCGTTGCGGATTATTCGAGCGAACTGGCGGCGTACTGTGGACGCCCTCTACCCCACTACAGATACATAGAATTTTAAGTCAAGTCAAGTCAGTGTTCTTCAAGATTATGTTCTACATCTATGTCAAATTTCAGCGAGCATGCAGCCGTTCTGGAGATACCTTCCAACAAACATCCATCCATACATTCGCATTAATAATATTAAGAAGAAGCACAATACAAAATGCATTTTTATCAATACATATTATATATTTTTGTTATCAGTTTGATAAAAACGACATAATATATTTATAGAATTATATTATTAAAATGTTTACTAATATTATAAAGAGAAAAGGTTTGATTGTTTGTATAATATTAAATCCTTCACTGTAGGAAAGCTATACTATCGCTGGTCGACATAGGATATACGAGTATTTAATACCAGATTTTGTTTTTAATTCCGACGGACGAAGTCACGGACAACTGCTACGTCGATATAAAATCAATCATGATAAATTCTGCTAGGTATCAACACCTTTCTTGTAGGAGTTGGTATATTCCGATAATTCAAATTCGAACTGACCATAGATAAATGTATTTTTATATAATAAAAGGCTTTCAAGTGCAAACTTGAAGTGCAAACGGAACGTCAGTGGCTCAGTGGTCAAGCACTTGACTTGCAATCTGCAGGTCCTGGGTTCGAATCCCCGCCATGTACCAATGTGTTTTTCGATTTCTAATTTACATATATACATTTATCCGACGTTCTTACGGTGAAGGAAAACATCGTGATGCAACCTGCACATATCTGAGAAGAAATTCAAAGATATGTGTGAAGTCAACCAACCCGCACTTGGGTGGCGTGGTTGACTATGGCCTAATTACCCTTAACTCAGGGTAGGCTCCGAGCCCCTCGGTGGTGACGTATAGTGAGCTGATGATGATGATCATGATGAAGTGCAAACTATTTAATACTGTTTCGACCATAGATAATCGAAAGACCATAGGACCATATGTGGGCTATGTCTTGCGACACGAAAAATATGAACATCTTCAACTCATAATGATGGGCAAAATCGCAGGCAGAAGACGAGTTGGAAGGAGGAGAAAGTCGTGGCTGAGAAACATTCGGGAATAGAACACTATTGCCAGCGTTGAACAAACTTTTTCGCCTGACACAGGACAGGAAAGGGTTCGCTGAGCTGACGGCCAACCTCCAGTAATGAGAGAGGCATTAGAGGAAGAAGAAAAATCGCATGAAATCTTTTTAACCGACTTCAAAAAGGCGACTCAATTCGTCTATATGTTTTTTTTTGTTTGTTCTTTTTTATTCTAAAGGTATTGCGTGTCATTTGGTCCAATTTTTTTGAAACATAAACTACCAAGTAGTTTTTATTTCCAACTTCTTTGCTCAGAACTTGTTGTACAGACGCAAAAAAGATTTTAATAAAAAATTAAAAAAAAAACTTACGTACACTTTATGTATACCGTTTTGTTTTATTATTAAATATTTAATTACTTCCTATAAATTAGATAACTCAAGGTGTTTCGAAAAAAAAAATACGCGTTATATTTGATCTTTGCTACTTCATCAAAACTATATATCAATTATGAAGACCTTGAAAGTCGGGCTAAGGCAAACGTATTAATCCAATAAATTAACTTCATATTGATTGTAACTAATAATATAAACGAATTATTAATATTATAATGATTTATGAAAGGACAATTTATTATCTCGCGAACATTTTTCTTAATTACGAACTTGCTGCTTAAAAATATAAATATTTTAAGCCGGATACATAAATTACTACAAAATAACTATCAAAATTAAAAATAAAGTATTATTTAGAAGGTTTACTGCTGCACCTAAAGTTGTTAAGTAAGACTTAGGTCTTACTTAACAACTTTAGGTGCAGCTCTCTGTTAGGAGAGACTCGATAGTTTAGGCTACAACTGTTATATTTAATTCATATTTTCCTTTCTTTCTAAATGTGGAAGACACGTGTATTAGGACCACTACAAAAATCTGTCGTCTCTATCTACTCCCTTCATTTCGGGCGAGATTTTTATTGATGTTAAATAGTTTTAATAATAATTTCTAATCTTGTATTCTAGCCTATGTGATCTTCTAGATTATATTCTATATGTATGCCAAAGTTATACGACGTCACAAATCTTAAAACAAGAAACTTGATAAAAGGAAATAAAATTGTTTTTATGGAACAGTAGAATCGCCCGTGTGTACTTTTTTTAGAAGCCTATGTGTTCTTCCAGACTATGTCCTTCATCTATGTAAAATTCCAGCTTGATCCATGCAGCATTTCTGGAGATACCTTCTAACAAACATCCATCCAATTATTCGCTGTTAGTCATATAACTAAGAAGTAAGATTATTCATATATCCATTGTCAAAGGACAATAGGGAATGATGGTAAGAGAATCGCATTGTGTCTTGCCAATTGATAGTTTATATAATATATAGTATATATACATATATGTTAACTTTACATAACACTATTGAACATATTCTCACGTATTACATTCTAACAGTTGGATACATTAGCTTGTAGATGTATGAAATACTAGCTGTCGCCCGCGACTCCGTCAGCACGGAATTTAAAAAAGATAAGTAGCGTATATGTTCTTCCAGATTATGTTCTATATCCATCCATCCATCCAACTACATTTCCGCTTTATGATAATTACTAAATGGTAACCAAAAATAGTTAAGATTACTTTTTCTCTATACAATTTCTTCTGAGTACGTTAAAACAATCAAGTACGTCTCAGTGTTACAATTTCACACGAAGGTAGAGAACTTTTACAAAATATAAATGCAGTACTATTATTTAAAAGTGCAATTATTTGAACGTACACAAATTGTCAAAACTTTATAGCCCCACCAAAGTGGCAATGATTGCTAGTAATATTGTCAAAATCTATCAAAATATCTTACTCTTACTAATGCGAATGTTTAGATGGATGGATGGTCACAAAGTATCTCCAGAACGAATCCCTTCCTGAACGGATCTCGATGAAATTTGTTACACATAACATAATCTGGAAGAATACATAGGCTACTAATTATTTTTGTTTTAAATAGCGCGGACGGAGTCGCGGGCTAGTATAACAATAAACATGACAAATACGTGACACTTCTAAACTTATAGTTCCATACATTTTTGTTTTTTAATTTGAAATTAAACAAATCCTATCTTGTGATTACATACCTACAGTCATGAAGAGCAATTTGACACCAGATTCCAGATGATACTTAGAAGGTTCTGTGTAATGCAGCCGATGGTAGATGAGGTCATAACCCTCGCACGACTTCTCCGGCAGGTAAGAGAACTCTCTGCGAACAGTCACAAGACAAATGGTTAGTGGATAATGCTTTCAAACAGAAGATAAGTACAGTGTTGTACTACACAATTTGTTCTATAAAAATCTTACTAACATTATAAATGCGTATATTTGTTTGAAGATCTGCATGGATCTTGCTGAAATTTGGCATAGATTTAGAACATAGACTATTAATTACGTTTTGATTAGATCCGCACGGGCGGATTCGCGGGCGACAGTTAGTCTTAAAAATAGTTTGAACCAAATATTATTTAAAAAGTCTAAAAATCTATATATAAACAAGAAAGTGGTGTTATAATAGTTACACTATTTATAACTCAAGAACGGCTTTACCGATTATGGCTGAAAATTGGTGAGGAGGTAGCTTAGAGACGAGACGGACATAGGATACTATTTATTCATTTTTTTATTTTTAGTTTTTTTATATATCCACGCAGATTGAGTCGCGGGCGACAGCTAGTAATATATAAATGTCAAAGGACATTGCGACTCATACCGGTTTTAAAATAATAATAATAAATATTTTAATAGTATTAAAAATACTCGCTACTAGTTAGATTGTAAACGGACTTTACTATTGACGTCAATGTAAATCGAGCAAACAACTATGCTTGGTCAATTTAATGATTCGAGGTTCAGTAGACAATATATATAGCGATCACAAGCCACACCGTCCGCGCGGGAAAAAAAGTTAATAAGTATCCTATGTGTTCTTTCATACTATGTTCTACATCTATGTTAAATTTCAGTGAGAAAGAAAATCCATCCATACATTTAAACATTCGCATTTACAATATTAGTAAGAAGTAAGATGTGTGCTTAATACAATTTTTGAACAATAGATGGCGCAGTACAAATACAATTGTAAATTTTAAACACGGCATCAAAAGTTAACGTTCAGAAATGTCGAAATTAAATAAATATTAATCAGCATTATAAACATGTGATCCGGTGACAATAACAGTAGAAGGTAACGGTAGAAGTAACAGCCCGAGTCGAGGCTCCTTAGGGAGCCCTCGAGTCTCGTTACTCTTAAACGAGGTTCAGGCTAAGCGCCATCTGCGCTCAGCCAAACCCGGTGAAGTAAATGCCTCTTCAAGGCAAACAGTGACTACTAAGTCACAAAAACTAATAATATTGAGCTACTTTTTTTAATAAAAAAACAAACATATTCTTATCTTGGGAAAATTTAAAATTTAAATTAGAAAATAGATTAAAAATATTTAAGTAACAGTTTGTTACCAATAGCGATAATTCTAGCAAATGAAACTTAACCCTGATGTTCATTTTGTATAGTATGCCATACATACAACTTTATAATCCACTTCTTTCTTATAAAGAAAAGGATGGGAAGTTGAAGTGGACTTTCCGGTTGAGAGGATGCATGAAAAGGGAGGATATTTTCTTTCTGTGCATCCTCTCCTCGGTCAATTTAAGATAGGCAACGCATATGCAATTGCGTATGTCTATGGGCAACGGTTGCTTCGCTATTTCAGCGATTTCAGGTGGCCACCAGCTCTTTTGCCACCTTTTGATATAAAAAAACGATCACTATAAAACAATTTTTAACTTTGTTTTTTGCTTTTCTTCAAAAAAGACATCTTGCCACAATAAAGGTTAAAAGGTTTCAGTAATTCAATAGGATAGATTATTTCTGTGTAAAATACTAATACATTGGGTTAAAAGATAATAATTACGGAATTCTACATTTTATGAACCTTAACCTTGATGTATAATCGCAGTTCCGATGACTACGAAGGTTCCAACTCAATCAGAAACCTGTTCTTGTTTAACGATAATTCATTACCTTACTGTGGCTTGTTCGTCAAGATCGTTGCGAGAAAAGTCGCTGCGATTTTCAAAATGGCGGAGCAAATCTAGTTGACATTTTAAAAATACGCTAGACAAATTGCATTTGAAGCGATTCCATGAGAAACTTCAAAAATGTAATAGAACTGACATTAACTATCGATAAAGCACGCAATTGTCGCGCGTCGCTTCCATACAATTTTGAAGTTCGCTATTAAATCGCTTCTAAGTGAATGCACTTTGTCTAACCCCGCTAATCAAATAGAGGACTCGCGTCGACGATTCAACATTCTGCGCGTTTCGAATATTTACATTTTCTTATGTACGACGGACTTATAAACTTAAGGAAAAACCGGAATTATCTTTTTCATTGAATTGGTTATTGTAAAATGACATTTATTGACTTGTAATTTTCAATAGTAATATGATCGCCATCAAAATGTTCAACTTGCGAATGACCAACTATTATGAACGTTTGTATAGTAACATACAGGGTTAATATGAGTGTTTTGTATGTTATATATTTTGATGCACGAGACGAAGTACAGCACAGCAAGTAAGATATAATAAACATGATGTACATAAAATACGAATAATAGTTATAAAGTTATTTGTTATTTTAATATTAAATGTGAAGTAAACTTTGTCGTTGAAAATATATTCAAACTGACGGCATTTGATAATGTACTAAAAGAATCGTATGTAATACATATTATAGGCGCTTTGCATACATAGCAATTTTAGTCGTTATAAGACTAACGCATTACAATTTCATAGTGGTTCGAACACAGCACGTTGTCGCTCGCAACCTAATGGTCAGGATCATCGTGAGAGTATCACAGAAAAGTTGCTGCAATTTTCAAGATGACCGATCAAATCTATACAGTAGACATGTAGTCGCTATGCCTCTACTGACCGAATAGACGATTCGCGTCGACGATTCAATGTTGTGTACGGAACGCGCGCAACGCGATTCTCACGGCGCGACCACACAATATTAATTTTAACGATTTACGTTAGCTTGTGTACAGTGGGCCTTATTTTTACCTACATAAACGTAAATTATGATCACAGGTGACCAAAAATATACATAGTATGTAATATGTATATTTGAGTAAAATATTATAAATACTTTATAAATGTTGAATACTGAATTTATTATATTCTAATAGCCGTAGCCCGCGACTTAATCTGCGCGAAATTAAAAAAAAATACGTTATTAGTAGCCTATGTGTTCTTTCAAACATATTCTACATGTTTGTCAAATTTCAACGAAAACCGTTGAGCAGTTTCAATTTTCAACAAACATCCATCCATCTAAACATTTGCTTTTATTATATTAGTAACATTTAAATGTAAAATATACATATATTTGTAGTGATATTATGAATGTTTCAAAAGTTTATTTTAACATTGCAACACTGACATTTAAAGTCAACACAATTTTGGCGCGCATTCATGACAGCGAAAAGGTTTCCTCCGTTCAACCAAACTATCGATCCATACTATCACATTTATGATATTAAAAATTAAGATTTTTATTTCAAAGTTTACAAGACTGCATCATCAATGTCATATTGCGAATGAGACGTATCCACCATTCTATTCTAACCTTGTGTTCAATAGCCATGTTTGAAAATATTAAGTAATTTGACACTTATGTAGACAACGAGAGATACGGAATATCAATTTGTACGTAAATAATAGTATGTTTTTAAGGTAAATTTTTAATTTTATGCCGCATCCAAAATTAATATACAATAGACAACCTCCATTAATTCATTTTTTTTTTCATTTTACTTTTCAACCTTACAAAAACAATAATTCGTTTTTTTAAAGACAATCTGATATGTTAATAAAGTCATCGTTATTATCAGGCCGCAGCGTAACGCCGCTACCTTAAAAAAAAAATGTAGTATATTTAAAACTATTAAATGCCAAAACAATTTTGTTCAATTATTTATGTCATAGCCATACATTTATGATTTTGAAGTCAACTTTAAAAGGTAGTTCTTTTTGTACTCATTTTTAATTATTATAAGATTAAATTAGTGTATAATTTTTCCCTCCTTTATTTATATGGAATAAAGATAATAAATATAATGGCAGAGCTTAGTTTCCTTTGCATAAAATGCATAATTTAAACATTTTGTACATGACCTTTACATAAATATCATACCTATACAAATAGAGTATTCAAATTAGAATTTTATTAAAAACAATCAGAGTGCAGTTTTTTCCAGTTTGTGAAGGACACAGTAATTAAATCAGTAATGTTTAAATAAGCGGAACCAACATATTTTTTTATAACTTTAATAAACAGATGGTAAAAGTTTTAGCTGCTTACAACTTTTAGACATTATTAGCTAGAAACCTTTGGCGCGAATAGCGCACTTTCATTACAAAGTCAAGTGTCAAAATGATTTGTGAGGGGACATAAACGTCGACATTTTAGTAAGTCTAGTCTTGCGCCAGTACATTGGCACAGTTTTGGATATTATTCCTAACACTAGATAATGTAAACAAAGTAGTAATAAACATTTAGTTATCAAAAGAGCATTTAGCCTATGTATTGTTCTAGACTATGTTTTACACCTATGCCAAATTTTGTCAATATCCAAGCAGCCATTCCAGAGATATCTTCTAACAAACATCCCTCCATCCATTCAAACATGTAAGAATATTAAATTAACATAACTATGATTGTTGTATGTAATGTTGATTAAATTTAATGAACAAGGGAGAAAAAGTTTGTCTCCCTAACCTTCTCTCAGAACAATATTATAGGTAAACTAGCTGTCACACATGACTTCATTCACTTATTAGAAAATTACTTAATTAGTAGCCTATGTGTTTTTCCAGACTATGTTCTACATCTATGCCAAATTACACCAGGATCTGTTCAGCCGTTCTTGAGATACCTTCAAATAAACATTCATCTATTCACCTAAACATTCACATTTATAATATTAGTAAGATAGTAAGTACTCATAAGAAAACATTTTTCCTCTTTGTTCAAGTTCAAACTATACCAGAAGTTCTTTGTAAAATATGAAATTTATTCTGATTATAAGAAAAAAAATGAAACTATCATGAGCAATTATTCACACTGATGTAAATTACAATATGATAATTAACAGTTTTATTGTAAAGAAGTCAAGGTTATTAAATGGTTTATTCAAGTTAATAAAAGTGGAATAATTTTCAGAAAACTTCCATAAAATGTACAAACAATAAACATTTCATTATTGAAAATTTATCTCTAATGAATATGTTATCTGTGTGCTAATTTCATAATTTTACTAATTAGACTCAATGTTAAACACTGAATTTGTACTTTACAGGTTTGGGTTCAATCTCTGCTATGTAACAGTGTTTTTTCGATTTTTAAAACTCATATAAATGTAAACAACATATTTGTGTGAAGTTAATCAACACTGATTGGGCTGATATCCAATAAGTTTGACTGAGGCGTCACACCAACAGTGTAGGCTCAAGCCCCTTGGTGGAGACATATCAGAGACAGAATCTAAGAGAGAGAGAAGAGTAAAATATTGATATGGTCAAAAAATATATAATGTTTATGTTTTAATTACAATTAAGTAAAGAATATTTGCAATTTTAATTTCGGGAAAATGTTATTTTTGTTTTTTAGAATATAGAAGCCGTTTTTATATTTAAAGATAAATAAAATTTTAAATAACTTACAAAGCTTCCGTGCTCGGCCACAATTCTTCAGAATTTAAGATACGACTATCAAAAAACTCTGGTGCATTTTTCCTGAATGAATAATATTTTTCTATACATGTTTTTGTTTTGTCCAAATCCCCATAACATGCATTATAAAATAACAAAAGTTGTTTATCCGATAAATCTTTAGGCACATATTTTGATTTGTCTAATTTTTGAGTCCACTGTTTTAAAAAGTTTATGTCATCTTGAGAAAATATGTCCATGGCAGCGGTAGCAGCATTATAATCGAATTCCAATTCCACAGGCATTGCTATAAAATTTAGAATATTATCGCCTCGTAATTTTATTTAAAACAACAATTTAAATGACACTACCACTCAGTTTAAAAACAATTTGACAACTGACTGACTGAATAAAAAGACCAATTTTGCTTGATCGAATTATCGAGTTAATCGACTTTGATTTCGTTTGTATAGATACCAGGTTTTTCGCCTGAATAACTTGGCAAGTCTCTTTGATAAAATGCAAACTCCATTTTATTTATTTAAAATTGTATAATATTACTGTTTAATTTTAAATATGTAGCAAACTATTTTGATAAACTATATTTTTAGTATGATGTCACAGTATAATTTTGACTTTAGGAAAGCCTACAAGATTTTTTTTAATGTCAATTCCTCATATTAACAATAATAGTACAACTAAAATAATGCAATCAAATTCGTCGTAAGTATAATATAATTTTCTATTACAGAATTGTAAGCATTGGAAATTGATAATAGTTTAAGAATTAACAAAAAGATTATGTGTGTGTAATCGTTCTCTTATTTCAGAGAACCTAATTTACTTCTTATAAGAAGTAAAACTAGAATGTTAATATTTTACAAAATGTACTGGAAAACAATTTTATTTTTGGCAACACCATTATTGTTGCTTCCATTATATTTCATTGGCGCAAATAATGTGAGTTTTATATTTGTTTCCTTTTATCATTAAACATGAATTTTATTATCGAATTTTAGTTTCCTATAGTGCGCGTGTATTAACAGCCAAAAGATATCGTTTGATCTGTAGGTTTTTCCCCATTTGTGCAAACAAAGGAGTTGCCATATGTAAAACAGTTAACTGCAGTGTAAGTAAGTTGTTTAAGAATCTATGTCATAATAAAATTACTTCATATTTGATGTTGCAATTATTATAAAATCCTTTTATTGCAGGCATACCCATGTTTATATGTATTTCTCGTGACAGCTGTTTATTGGAGTACAGACGTCGCTCACCCAGTTATTATCTCACTGGCAGCATTGGCTTTATCTTCAATCTTCTCATTTTTCGACATCGAAATTATAACATCGGTTATTAAGACTTTGTTTCGTAGTTAAACAATATACTTTAGATTAATTAGAAATAACCTTCAAATTTGTATTGATAACCACATATCTCTTTGAATCCAGAACATTTGGCTATAAAGTCATCATCATAAAATCTACATATTTATTTATCAGATCTACGTAACCAGATCATTACTGGACTGCTTGGGAGTTATGATGATAAATGTGGCAATCGAATACTGCAACGTTCACAAGAGAATCGCGTTGAGAATAATTCTTATGTTTGGCTGCTCGCATTACAGGTTCATTTATTTAGATATAATTACCAAACTAAATAAAAACTTACCCGTCTTAAATAGAGCAAAAATCGGACTACGAATTCGATCTGCAAAAGGCATGATTTCATGTCGAAAAAGAGTGAAATCTTTCTTCTTACTAACATTATAAATGTTAACGGCTCAACGAATGTTTATGAAATTTGGCACACATGTAGAAAATAGTGTAGAAAAAGTCATAGCCTAATTGTTAAGTTTGTTTTTTAATACTACGCTGACGGAGTCACGGGCTACAGTTACTAGATTTATAAAAGTCCAAAAACAATATTACAGACCCTAATGAAATATCTGGTTTCAGGCTCAGCTTTATTTTATTCTTCAGTACGCTGGTGCTCTCCATGTGGGTATCTAATGTGATCACATGCGGTGTTATGATTCCCCTCGTCAGGTCCATCCTAATGGAATTAGAAAAGGTTACTTCAAATACAAAATAAGTGCTTTAAGTATAATATTTTGTTCTTTCTGATAACAACCAGAGTGTTAAAAATATCTTATAATTTTTGAGTGTCCCTGTTTCTATTAACACGTATTTGTACCGATTATTTCAGCTCGGCATTATTGAAGTGTACGAAAATATAGACAAGGACAGAAGATCAACGCAAATATACAAACCTACATTGTTCACGTCATTTTACTTTTTAGGTATCGCGTATTCATCTTCAATTGGTAAGAGTCCGGAGTAAATTTTTTTAAGGAATAAAGCAAAGATTTTCTCAAACTATATTTGATAAATCTTATCTTTTTTCAGGTGGCATGGCAACACTTTTCGGTAGTCGCACAAATCAAATTTTCAAGACTATTTTTGAAACGTAAATTATACTTTGGTATTTGGAGTAGATAGAGTGTTATATTGTATTGACTGGCAACCTATTAACCTACAATTATATGACGAAGCTGCTAATCTATTTATAAAGTGTATTTAAATATGTTAAATACATGTAACCATTTATTATGGCTTATATATTATATTATGTAAAATAAATGGTTCATATCCAATTCATTTGCATTCACATTATAATCCTCGCATAATTTTATAGATAATGGATTGCGAATTCTTTGCTAGATGATGTTTTAATCAGGCAATTTATTTATTTTGCATTCTTTTTAGGACATTCCCTACTGCACCAAAGATTGAATTTCCTCATTTTATGCTGCTCAACCTGCCTGCCGCTTTGCTGCTAGAGATACTCGTCTACTTGTGGCTGAACTTCTACTTTTTAGGAATGTTTAGGTGTCAACAATTTGTAGTCATATTAGAAATCAGATAAAATTCTTTTGCTAAATACATGTTAAAATGTGGATATTATTTTTTCTAAGGTCCTACCGAGACGCGTCATTACAGATGAGCATGACTGACGAAGAAACTCAATACATGAACACCTTATTGTCCACCAGATACCAGCAATTGGGCAAAGTTACTTTTCACGAAGCGGTTTGTAACTGAAAAGTGTTTAATTTTAATACTCATTTCGTTTGGTACATTTGTGTAGTTACAGTTTTAATTTCAGGTCGTATCTGCTGTTATAGTTTTAGCTGCAGCATTACAAGTGACAAGTAATACATTGTTCACGGCATATTCATATCATGAGTCAGTCATGAGGTAATGACATTCAAGAATTTGAATGAATAAATAGCACTCTAGTTAAACGCACGCGTCTTCGCACGAATTGGCCCGGCTCGCCCGGTGAAATACCACGACCACACCGAAGACAGGCGTGAAGTGGAAGCAATTCCGCGTTTCGTCGGATGTGTGTGCGTCCCGGAGGCCTTATTTAGTCCTTTTTCCCTTCCCACTCTTTTTCTTATAAGGAAAGGGTGGGAAGTTGACTTTCCGGATGAGAAGGGAAAATATTTTCTTTCTGTGCATCCTCTTCTCCGTCGATTAAAGGTAGGCAACGCAAATGCAATTGCGTATGTCTATGGGCAACGGTCACTTCGCTATTTCAGAGATTTCAGGTGGCCGCTCGCTCGTTTGCCACCTTATGATATAAAAAAAAACTTCTTGATGTCTCGATATTCACAATTAATAACCTTCGTAATATCTTTAATAATTTCAGCCATATCAAGCTTTCGGCTCCATCGATGGTGTGTGTAGTACTGCTGTTTATTATACCAATAAATTTGGATTTCACGAAATTCTTCAAGAAACGCACCGGTAATTCATTATTTTAATTTATAACAAAAAGCTATAAAACGTGCTGTTAAAAACCTTAAATTATTTTTTAGGCAATTTGGAGCTTCAGACAGCACCGAGTAAAACTTGCCTCAATTGGAGCCTCGTTAAAGATAGTGTACCGTGGAGTGTACTGTTTGTAATTGGTAAGCAACATGCTTCAACTTTGTATAAAATAAAAACCGCCGAAAACCACGGTCGCTGACCACCTTCATGCAATCAATATTTTCATTACTATTTTGCTCCAAATCTAAATGTATCTTACGTTGCTCTATTTGTTGCTCTTAGGATAGAATAATAACGTACTCAGTATGGAACAGTTACGTCAGTACGCAACTGAAAGTATCTACACATATTTAATCTTGTCCATTTGTATGTATAGGTAGCAGTAACACAGTATTCGAAGCTCTAGAACAGTCGAAGATGACTCAAGAATTGGAGAAGTTTTTTCTAATTTTTACCAGCTGGTCGGCGCCTGCAGCCGCACTCATTGTCATCGTTCTCTGCAAAACGCTCACAGAGTTTGCATGCAACTCCAGTGTGGCGCACGCGTTGCTGCCCCATATCGCTAGAGTGGTTAATAAAATTAAATTTTTATTTTATTTCCCTATTTCTATGGTAAAATGTTGATAAAATGGCAACATTTACACTGAAAGTCCCTTCATATCTGCGCGACAAGAAGCCGACACTAGCGCCACGCGAAATAATTATGCAACACAATCGCATAAAAACAAAAAATAATTTTCAACTATTTTAAACTAAATGCACGAATTTAAATTACACACATTTATATACACACATAAAATATAAATAACAAGCCGTTGTAAAATTATAGTGCGTAATATCAAAAGTGAACCCGCAATACCTGATGTTATCGGCGACGCTCGCGTCTTCTTTACCCTTCCACCTGATGACGGGCACGCCCGCCAATGCTATGGTACTGGCTTACGTCCATATCCCGCCAAAAGTTATGGTAAGACTTCTTATTGAAGATATATTTAAGTTAATATTCTCACTTCTATATATAAAGAAGCTCATCTATAGGCCGATAAGGGTAAGCAGACAAGTTAGCCTAGCACTTCTGTGCAGGGTTACAGAAAATATTGCACATTTAAGAATTAAGAACAGCGCCATCTATTTGCAAATATAAGAAATTTTAATTTATTACTAAAAAAATTTTATACATTTAAAACTAAATTAAAAATGTATATTTCAGATGCTTGCAGGCTTCGGACCTTCAGTACTAGCAGTTCTCACCGTGTGGTTCACTGTCACAATGTGGTCTAAAGCAATATGGCCCGACATACTTCTGTTCCCAAAATGGGCGGAGGTCAATTCATTGGAGTAAATAATATTGTAAGCGATTAATAGCTTTAACTTTACACATTTTAGATGTTTTTTTAAACTTGGCGTCGTATATTAAAATGTGCGACGTGACGTAATTTTAAATAAAAGCATAATAATTTCCTCAATATTTTTTATTTCGTAACAACATTCAGAGCAGAAATATTTACAGTATTCGAATAAAATTAATGAGATTTAATGACCGTACAAATATAAATATCGCACGAAGTTTTGAATCATGAACAAAATGCAATTATAAATGAACCACACCAGTAAAGCGCGCGCCACACAACACACAGAGCGAAACTAAAGCGTTTGTTTTCGATTTCTTCAATATAAATATACAATTAAGTGAATATTTGTCATTAATCCATCATTCGAACAATTTAATTTTGTTCAAATTTATTAAGTCAAAGTTCAACGGTTTAATAAAAAAAAACCTTACTGTAGATGTTTAAAATACGATCTATATTTGCGGCAGTTCAAACTATTTCTTTAAAAAAAACATTGCACCAATGAAAATTTATTGTTTCAGTTATTTGTGAATTTGTAAAATACGCTGTTGAGTTTCCACTATGTTTGTATTTAGCGTTATTTAATTTACAAAACCTCATCAAATATCCAACAACCAACCATACATTAAAAATCAATACCAAAATAAGTTTTTGTTCTTTTATATTATAAAATTCGTTATATCGTTTAAAAGCGATTAATTCGCAAAATTACGACTAATTAAATAATAATAAATTTATATTAAATTCAAACCACAGATCTTAAAATTTTATTTCTCTTGTATTGTTTATGATACAAAAGAGTTTTTAATAATTTTATCTATATTTAAATAAGATTAAGTTATAATAATTTATCTATTTTATCAATATTTGAATATTCATCATACATTGCTCAAGTTGACAAATATTTTTATAAAAATTTAAAACATCGTTCACTGACATATAATTTACATATAAAAAATATATTTTAATTTGAATTAAATATTAATTTGCACTATTTGACAATAGTATACAATTACAACGCATTTTTATTGCATTAAATATTTGATAAAAGAATAGGATTTTTTTAAATATAAATATTGAGGTTGATTACAAATTAATTGCTATATTTATAAAATGCTTCAAATAAAAGAAGGAATAATCCTAGTATAGGATATCCAAAGGCAAAGAGTCATTTATTTAAAAAAAAAACGGAAAAATATATATAAAAATGGTAACACAAAGCTATGAGAGAAATACAGTAAATATAAACAATAAATAATTGCTCAAAAATGCATTAGTCAAGAATTTGACATATCACAAAATGGCCGGCGCGACCACAGATTGAATTAATTACAGGACAGAAGGCGACCATAAATTGCGTGAGGTGTTTTAGGGGAGAGAGGGGGTCGAGTCAAATATCACACAATTTTTTTCCTGATTGAAACAAAAAAAAAGCAAAAGCACGAAGCAGTTTTTTTTTCTTTTTACAATAATAACCTAACGCGTTTACGTAAGAAACTCACATTTTGAAAAATCTCACGTGAGTTTGGGGGATGGGGGTTGAATAAAATCTCATGACATCTCACTAGGGGTGGAAGGAGGGGCAGAAAATTAAAAAAAAAACAGCTCACGTAATTTATCGACGCCCCCACATTATGGATTAAATATTATAATTAAGTCAGCACCCGCTTTTTCCGCTAATATACTAACAATGTCGTATAAAAATATATTGTAAACACTTTTGGCAATGCAACTAATGTGCAGCGGCTCACTGGAATTACAATACGTCGACCATAACATGATACCACATAGATGACGTCACAACGTTCATACAAGTTTAAATTACATAAAAGACAAAGAATATAACTTTGTCTACATTAATGTAGTAATAGAGGGCAGGTTTTATAAGCATTATAAATTCTTTTTCAGTTTAAAAAATGGCTTTAAATTCATATTTTTAAGTTAAACTGTTATTAAACTTTGTACATCCAACTAAACCGCTACATATTTGGTCTACTCTAAAAACCAGTTCTTTTTTAAACCAGTTAACTCTTAAATGGTGAATAACTGCAGTTAAATGCACCTTTAACTACATTAGCTGCAGTGGTGCAGTTAATATAGGGTGTCATAGACAATGTGGCGGAGGTGGCATTGCAGCTGAGTGTCAGGTTTGTGAGTGGTGCGGTGTCAATGGCAGTCTGTAGGCCGATGATGTCCTCTGCCTTGAAGATGAGTGAACCCCACGTGGGGTACGCACCCCATACTATAAGGGTGGTTATTATTTTCGGACCGATACCACCGACAGCCTGGAATAAATAAACAATTATTAAAATAAATATATTGTTTTTATTAATAATAGGAAAACAAAAATTAGGACGTAACATTTTGTGTGCTCTTCATGCTCGCAGACATTTTGGATTTTCCATACAGTTGTTTTTTTAAAGTGTACTTTGTCAGTGAACAATTTACAATTCAGTCAGTTAACTATATTTCTATTTACAAATTCATAAATATTAATAAAATTTGAGTGTCTGTATGTCACACAAAAAAAATCATATTCCGTACACATGATTTACGTTAATAATAACAAAAACTCATTTATTTTGCATTTTTGTCTGTCTGTCTGTAAGCCCTTTCATTCCAAGTCTTTTACGAAGGTAACGTGCAACGCGACAGATTGTTATACGGAAGATGTTTCTCCTAAGGATCGGTCAGCTATCGTTTGTCTCTTTTGCACAAAATGTCCTTTGGTTCGTAATTGTGAAAAGTTTCGTGCTCTCTCGATTCAAAAGAGATTGCATTGGGTTGCCGAGGCAAAGGTTTGTAGGAAGTGTCTAGAGAGAGGTTCGCATCATTATAACAGCTGTAATAAGTTTTCATGTAAAGAAAAGTCATGTAAGTTTAGAAACTCTCACCATACGCTTCTTCATAAACCTATTATGTCAATCAATAAAACGACTGGACCGAATTTCACTCGAATTTGACTGGAAGGTAGCTGCTGCACTCAGAAATAGAGGACCTTTATTTTATTTGTATACTAGTTGTCGTTTGCGACTCCGTCCGCGTGGAATTAAAAAAAAACTATTGATCGCAGCGTAATGTTATATATATATGCTAAAGCCTTCCTCTATAAAGGGACTATCCAACAAAAAAAATATTTTTCACGTCGGAGCACAAGTTCCTAAGATTAGTGCGTTTAAACAAACAAACTCTTCCGCTTTATAATATTTGTATAGATTTTCTATATAGTATAAATTTTATTGTAGTTACCATCTTTGAGGTGGGTATGTGGGCGACTCCGGCGACGATGGCGTTGGGCGGAGTGCCGACCGGCATGTGGAAGGCCATGGAGCAGGCCAGGGTCGCCGGCACCATCAGGTAGCGCGGGTCCATGTCCAGCGTGCGAGCCTGCATACAAACATACAAACATTATGTCACTAATCTAGTCTATTCATCCAATAAACTCGTGTAGCCGATTCATCTACTGTTACTATTCACATAAGTTAGGCTAATTAGCCTATTTATATGACTTATCGACTGAGCGATTTCTTTTACTGACAGCTTTATTGTCCCGGCTCGCCCGGTGAAATACCACGACCACACAGAAGACAGGCCTCAAGTGGAAGAAATTACGCGTTTCGTCTGATGAGTGTGCGTCCCGGAGGCCTAATTTAGTCCTCTTTTCCTTCCCACACTTTTTCTTATAAGGAAAAGATGGGAAGTGAAAGTGGATTTTCCGGATGAGAGGAAGCATGGAAGGGGAAAATATTTTCTTTCTGTGCATCCGCTCCTCCGTGGATTAAAGGTAGGCAACGCATATGCAATTGCGTATGTCTATGGGCAACGGTCACTTCGCTATTTCAGCGATTTCAGGTGACCGCTCGCTCGTTTACCATCTTATGATACAAAAAAAAGCTAATTCCTACAATTTCCCGATTGTCGCTATTCATCCAAATTACTAATTAAGCCTATTCATCTTACATTTACTGATAAGATTAATTCTGACAATTTCCTGATTAAGCCTATTCTCCAAACTTAGTGATGTAGCCTATTCATCGACGTACCATGTTAGCGAGCACGGGCAGTATGAGGTTGGCGATGGCGACGTTGGAGGTGAACTCAGTGATGAACTGTGTGACGAGCACCACCACCAGCAGCACGAGGGCGGGATGCAGACCATGTAGACCGTTCAGAGAAGAGCCGATCATTGAAGACAGGCCGGTTGCCTTGCTACCTTCAGCCAGAGCGAACCCACCGCCTGGAAGATAACATAATTTAAAAAATCTAGTAATAAACTTTTAGTGAAGCTTCCAAATAGTTAATTTTTAATACAAACAAACAAACCTTTCCTCTTTATAATATTAGTATAGATTTGAAATATGTTTCCCTGATCCTATATTATTATTTAAGAAATATTTAATTCAATAGGCCAGTCTTTACAATAATATATAGTAAGCTGTCGCCCCCGACTCCGTCCGGGTGGAATTAAAAAAAAAACTTAATAAGTAGACTATGTTCTACATCTATGTTAAATTTCATCAGAATCCATTAAGCCGTTGAGGATATGCATCCATTTATAATATTAAGAGTATACATACCCAACAAGAAGAGCAGACCCCAAGGTATTTTCTCCTTCAGTATACCCCAAGTCACAACACCGGAGGATGGCTTGGATGCTGCTAATTCTTCATCTGAAATACATTTATAAAAATATTTTATCAACATACAATTAAAAACAATACATCCTTATACATATATATACTTATAATACATAAACTCTTAAATCTATGATATAAAATAAAATTAAAAAAAAAAACGAATAATTAACTAAAATATGTTAATAAAAGGAGGTCCCTTTAGGCAAGGTCCCGAAGATACTGGCAGCGTTCCCCCTCTGTACAGCTAAACTAATTCTTTGACCGAGGTAGCTGCCAGCTCTTCGGTCCCCTGTGATGTCGATTAATTTTTTGGAAATGTCCTTAAAAAGTCTTAAAGCGCTAGGACCCCACGGACCAAGGGTCTCGACGCCGAATGGGACAAAATGATATTCGGAGCCTAGACCCCTGTATTTACATGCTTTTGCATTTTCAGCCGCTTCACAAGCCGCACCCGCTCTGTTGTTGGTTCCATGTAGATGGGAAGGGGCCAGCGTGTCTGAACAGGTTGCATCCCATACCAGCACCCGACCCATCTTCCATGGAATCAAACTCATACCGTCAGGTCTCTTGCCATCGTCTCTTGCTACACCAGTCGGCTCTAGTAGACTTGGCACGTTGACGGTGGCAAGAGACCGACGTATGATATCGTTGAGTGCGGCATGTCTCGAGAAGCGGCCTGCACTTTTTTGGCAAGACAGTCCGTGATGTCCTAGCTTGTCGACATCACTGCCACAGGGACACCTATGAGGAGCGCAGACCGGAACCCCAAGCCGAAGACAGGTTGCGATTCGGAGCGTGTCAGGTTCCAGAAATGTTCCTGTATGTGGCGAAGGGTACGCGTGAAGCCAGTAACCAGCCTCATGCGTACCCACAGCCAAAAGCCTAGCACGCGCCGAACCTATACTATAATTTAAAAGATTTTCGTAGGTTAATTTGCAAAAGATATCATCCCAGCTCCTCTGTAAATTTGGAGAAAGTGGTAAATTTTGGCCTGGGCATGCAATTAAGAAAGCATTTCTAGCTTCTTCCAAGCCAGCAATCTCAAAGTTTGAAGGGAATGCCCTTAAAATTTTTCCTATGAGATTAGCTGAACTATGGACAGAAGATAGGAAGGCTGGTAAAGCAACACTAGAAATTTTGTATTATTGACATTAATTAATTAAATTCTATCGCCGTAGTTATTAGGTACTTTTTGATATTGCCTTGGACTAATGAGTTTCACCGTTAAAGTACTTTTCTATTAAAAACTGTATTTTAGATGAGAAATCTACGCTTAGTGTGCAAAAGACTATGAGTACGGCAGTTTAGACAGTATATTTAAGCTCCGGAGCATTCCTTTAGAGATGGTCACCAAGGAGGTTTTAGTGAGTCGAAAGTCTCTCAAAACCAGGGACCTCTTTGGAAAGGAGGATAAAATATTTAAGGAAGACTTTTTATTAATTTCTTTGATACTTACAAGATGCAGACGCTGAGAAGAACTTTACAAAGTCCATGGACATGGGCAATATAAACATTAGCACCACAATGAACATAGAAGTCACACCGTCCTTCACTTTCCTGAAAATATCAATATTTTTTCTAAGTTTTCTGTTTTTTTAAAGGTGGCAAATGATTTGGAACATCGTGTGAGGGAGTGCAGGTTCGTCCGAAGAACCCTAAATCATTGTTTGGAAATACCAAACAGGATATTCGTTAAATATTTTTTTCGGCATGTCAATATTCCTAGGAATAAATTTATATTGGGCCTATTAATTGGTAGACTGATCGCCCCAACGGGAAACATCCTCCTTACTATTTTTTTTATATCATAAGGTGGCAAACGAGCGAGCGGCCACATGAAATCGTTGAAATAGCGAAGTGACCGTTGCCCATAGACATACGCAATTGCATATGCGTTGCCTACCTTTAATCGACGGAGGAGAGGATGCATAGAAAGAAAATATTTACCCTTTCCATGCATCCTCTCGTCCGGAAAGTCCACTTCCACTTCCCATCCATTCCTTATAAGAAAAAGTGTGGAAAGGGAAAAAGGACTAAATTAGGCCTCCGGGGAGATATAATATTAATATTAAAAAACCAAATGTTTGGATGGATGGATGTTTGTTTGTTTGTATGTAGGTATCTCTAGTAGCCTGTATTTATTTTGATGATATTTGTCATAGATGTAGAACATATCCTGGAAGAACTCATAGGCTATTAGACGGATTCGTGTGCTACAGCAATTTTTTAATAAAATGAAATTATGTTTAAATATGAATGTTTGCGCAATAAAAACCCACGGGTACATTACTTACATGGTGGTGATGACATCAGCCCAGCCCGGCATGAAGCCAGGTTTGCGGAAGATGTACAGGAACACAGCCAGGATGAACAGGAAACCTGACGCCTGAAAAATACATTAAATGTGGGTTTCCGAGACCAAAATTTCCGTTTGAAATTATCTCTGTTTTATCAGACATTTTGGTCTCAGAAACCAGCTGTTAATACTAAATCTTGTATAAACAATTACATAAAATGTAGATAAAAAACAAAGAAAGAAAAATAATACAAATCAGATGAAACACTAATTGACTAAACAATCAAAAACATTATTGGGTAGATAAATATTTTAGTCTGTAAGAATTTATTACTAAGCAATTTTTTTAAATACCCTCTTTTTAGTATTTATACTTTGATCTGGAATAGTATTAAAAAATATTAGATTACTGTGTGTATAAAATATTTTTTACCTTTTCATGGAAGGTGATAGGTCCGAGGTTCCTGTACTGTTCTTTGATCACCTTCATCGTGGTGAAGGAACCTGAAGATGCCTTGTTCACGTTCTTTGCTGCCTCACTTTTAGGTCTAACAAAAAATACAATTAATAAGAAACCAAATATCTTCCTTCTTTTTCTACAGTTACATAAATTCGCCAAAACAGCGAAACGACCGTTCAAACATCAGCAATTGCAGATGCGTTAACTTTATTTGACAGAGGTAAGGAAGCACAGAAAGAGTATATTTTCTTATCCGTCCACTCCTCCGTCAAATCTACTAAGGGAACTTGGACTAAGATAAGGCCTCCGAAGCACACAGTCATAAGACTGTAGTTAAAATGATTTTCATTTGGTGTGTGTCTGTGTGGTATTACACTGAGCAAGCCCATTCATGCAAGAGATGATTGTGTCTATGACAGTTAAATACAAGGCTAAACTAAGTCAATCTGGCAAAAATACCTTAGATGAGCCAATGAATGATTTAGGATAGATAATTGGATCTTTGGTCTGTGAGTTACCTGAATAATCCCATGAACGTGACCTGCAGGGAGAGCCAGACCAGCAGCTGCATGAGCAGCATGGGTGGCGTGCTGTACGCCATGAACCAGAAGAAGTTCACCGACCCTGAGATCTCGGGGAACTCCCTGCAACATATAGATGTCTCTTTCTGACTTACTGCTTTTATATGTCACCTGTCTCTGTTACACAATATCAGTTTGATGAAGATATATAAGCTTTTTATCAGTGTTAATTACCTTTTTGTAGTTGAATCAAAATCTTGTTACTGTTGTAGAGTGTCTTACGATAGATGGCGCTTTACTTAATTATATATTTTTTTTAATTTACACCATTATTGAGTAATTACACTAAATCCAATTCTTTTGCTTTTGACAAAGTAATTTTATTTCTTACTAATATTTAAATGCGAATGTTTGGATGGATGGATGTTTGAAGATATCTCCAAAACGGCTGAACAGAATCTCGATGAAATTTGGCATAAGTATTGAACATAGTCTGGAGGAATACATATTAAGTTTTTTTTTTTAATTACGTACGGACGGAGTCGCGTGCTACAGCTAATAATTGAATAATTACGCTCATGAAAGTTTATTTCTTTAGCTTATGACGAAGCATTCATACGAGTACAATGAATGAAGAGATATTTGTTAATAAATATATAGTTTAACGGATCTCGCTGAAACTTGGCACACATATTGAACATAGTCTGGAAGAACACATAGTCTACTAATTAAGTTTTTTTATTTAAATTACGTACAGAGTGGCGGGCAACAGCTAGTAAATATATAAAGCAATACATACGAGTCAAATATTCCTTTGAATGCAGAGTTGGTGGCGGTGCCGACGAGCGTGCCGCAGCCGCCCAGTGTGGACGCGTACGCGATGCTCAGGTAGTAACATATCGTGATGTCACTCGGCATCGCTGATCTGAAACATCACTAGAATTAGACTCCAATAATCACTAATCTTTTAAACAGTGGTAGAGCCCGCTTTAATATGTTCGCACGAGTTGTCCCGGCTTGTCCGGTGAAATACCACGACCACACAGAAGACACGCCTCAAGTGGAAGCAATTCCGCGTGCAGTCTGATGAGTATGCGTCCCGGAGGCCTAATTTAGTTCTCTTTCCCTTCCCACCCCTTTTCTCATAAGGAAAGGATGAGAAGTAGAAATGGACTTTCCGGATGAAAAGAAGCATGGAAGGGGAAAATGTTTTCTTTCTATGCATCCTCTCCTCCGTCGATTAAAGGTAGGCAACGCATATGCAATTGCGTATGTCTATGGACAACGGTCACTTCGCTATTTCAGCGATTTCAGATCTCGCTCGTTTGCCACATTATGATATAAAAAAAAATCTTATCAAATTGGTTGTATAATATGCATAAATGTAGTATTGTTTGTCTCGAGCGTAACTACATGCCGGAGGGGGCGTCAGATGTTAGACCTTTGGACCGGTAGTACATGTCAGTAAGAACGAGCCAAATATAACGTAACGAATGCTACAGGTAGGAAATAAGTTTTAGCTTAATTAAAAGTTACCGTTGGTTTCTGATATCAAAATTTATGTATAAACCATATCTAAATAGTCTTTGATAGAGATAACAATATATTAAAATCTGAGATTTTGAATTTCGGATGTTAAAAGGGTAGTGAATTTAATTCTTTAACTATATATTATAACTTACTCTTCGTCAGTATTCCTGTTGTCAGCCGGTTTAATATCTTTGCCATTCTCTGGGAGTGCATTTTTCTTTTTATTCACGTACACATCTCCTAACCCTTGCTGGAAATTATAATCACTATATTAATATTATATTTATATATATTTTATACTAAAAATATTAACCAATTGTTATTTTACTAATATTTCTTGTACCATTCCAAGTAAGCTGTGCTTGTGATAAGAAATGAACTCTCGACCATGTAATGGGAAATCCGTACTTTTAACCATTAGGCTATTGGCACACGCGTATTTAACAATTTACGTATATTGAAACACACTGAATATCTTCAATTTTTTTTTAATTTTCAACATTCCAACAATTACGTAATAACACCCGTACCTCAGAGTGGTAGGCAGAGATTATAGACTTTTATTTAGTATAATCCTGGTACTATTTCGCCTCTTCCACATTCCTACATATTATATTATAAATGCGAATGTCTCGATGGATGGATGTTTCTCCAGAACGGCTGAACGGATCTTGATGAAATTCGGTATATATGTAGAACATAGTCTGGTAGGACACATAGGCTACTTTTTAAGTGTTTTTTTTTTAATTCCCAGCAAACGGAGTGGCGGGCGATAGGTAGTATTTTAATATAGAGAAACTATTGGTAAATGTTATAATAACCTGTTCCAATACTTCTAGAATAGCTTCAACAATTGGCACCATCATTGTTGTTGCAGCCGCGTTTGACACCCACATTGATATGAACATAGTTACAAATGTTAAACCAAAGTTCAATCTGAAATTATACAAGAGAATTTCTTACTAATATTATAAATACGTTTGGATAGATGGATGGATGTTAGAAGGTTACATAGATCTTGATTGTCCCGTCTCCCCCGGTGAAATACCACGACCACACAGAAGACACGCCTCAAGTGGAAGCTATTACGCGTTTCGTCTGATGAGTATGCGTCCCGGAGGCCTAATTTAGTCGTCTTTCCCTTCCCACCCTTTTTATTATAAGGAAAGGATGGGAAGTGGAAGAGGACTAAACGGTCACTTCGTTATTTCAACGATTTCAGGTGACCGCTCGCTCGTTTGCCACCTTATGATATAAAACTTGGAAGAACACATAGACTAATTATTTTTCTTAGTTGAACGGGGACGGAGTTTCAAGCGAATATTAGAAAACGGAAGAGTTTGTTTGTTCAAACGCGCTAATCTCAGGAACTATTGTTCCGATTTGAAAAAATCTTTTTTTTCTTGGATAGTGCATTTATATAACATTACGCTGCTACCAATAGTTTTTTTTAAATTCCGCGCGGACGGCGTCGCGGGCAACAGCTAGTATTTAATAATCATAAAAACTTTTAAAAAGTTGTTTTCTTTAGAAGTCTCTAGTCTTCTATGACTCAAAAACAATTTATAACAGAATTTTCGTAAAAAACTTATAAAAACGTAGTTTTTAAATACTTTGAATGCTACAATTTCCATAATTAATTGGACTCGCAGGCCAACTCTAGCATTGAAAGTGTTACATCACAATATACATAAATACTAAACCAACCTTCTATGTGAACATCCGACCACTTGCACTGTCCATAGAGCCACTCGCTTAGGTAACTTCGAATGCTGAACTCCAGCGGCTATCATCAGCCCACCCATGAACATCATGTTAGTCTCCTTCATATATGCAGCACAAGTCTTATCAGAGTCGAGAATACCCAAGGTCGGGAAGAGAACTATGGGTAGCATCGACGTCACTGGAAGCGGCAGCAACTCCAACACCCAGTACATAGCCATAATAAGTACTACATACATGCATTTGTAAGCCTGGAAAGCAAAAATTGTCTATGAAAATAAAAAAAATCAATATTGGAAGTGGATTATCGGGATAAAGGATACATGGGAAGAAGAAATATTCTCTTTTTGTGCATCCTCCGTCGATTAAAGGTAGGCAACGTATCTGCAATTGCGTGTCTATGGGCAACTGTCATTCGCCACCTTATGATATAAAAAAAAATATTCAAAAATATAGTAAAACGTATCATTTAATCAAAAAGAAAAACATCAATGGAGAGTCAAGTTGCTATATCAGATTAATTACGTAGGCAATTGCTTATTTCCCACGTTTTACTATACAAAATAGACGTCCACTCTCGGCGACGGCTCAAATAATACTGACCGCTGATTGACAGTATCACAATTTCTAAGTACCTTCAAAATATACAAGTACCTACTTACCCTTGCATTATCCGATCCCGCATTTAATACGGGAATTGGTAACAGTATGAGTGGTGTTAACACAACTATAAGAGACTTCCAATATATGGATACGAATAGACTTATCCGTTGCCATAGCGACGCGCTTGATCTACCCCTGGAAAAGAAATATGTGGTGCCGCTGGAAGAGAAAAAAAAACCAGATATTAGTCAACAAAATCTATGTACAGATTAAACATAAATTTTTGGCGGGAATCAAATTTAAAATAGCGACATATTTAGTTGTACTATTACCATTGTTGCATATTTTTTTTGTGAGTACTTTTATATAAAAACTAGTTGTTAATAACTTATTGATAATATTGACTACAATAATTATATTGAATAAGGTATATATTAATATACCTTATTCAAATACTTGACACACACATGAAAATTAAAGAAAAAAAAAACAAACAATTTTAAAAAGTTATCAAAACATTTGACCTTATTACACTATATCAATAAGAAAAAAGTTTAAAAAAATAAAGCCTACTTGAAAGTTATAAATATTTGAAAAAACCAGTAGAAATCAATTTAAAGCAAGCAATTATGTATCTCTGTTTTAACAATATACTATTTAAAAATAATTTATTGTGATATAAAGTAAATATGTACATTATATAAAACAGTATGTGTTTAAAATAATAACTTTATGTGCAAATAACAAAATGCAAAAAATTCAGTGATTAAAATTAACAAACATGCTACATGAAATAAATAAAATAGCTTACATAAATACCTCCTATAGTTAACTAAATGTGCATCATATTATATATTAATTATTATATATCTTTTAACAACTAAAACGTACAGCATCTCATATTTAAAACTTGGTTAAGTAATGCACTAGAATAGAAACATTCACTTCAAAACATAAATTTTAAGGTAAATTTATTATTTACTAATTACATATTTCTATGGCTCTTATGTAGACTATTGTATATTAATATCTGTATAAATTTGAAAGTAACATTAGAAAGAAGAAGACGTTTGTAAGATTTTGTTTATATATTGTATGTTCAAAGTTTAAATTTTGCATTTTAAACTTACAATAGTTTACATAAGACCCATTTGTATAAAACATTTTACTAAGCATTATTTTAATATCGGCCAATTGTAATAAAAAAGAAAACAAAACATGTGCATCACATTCTTCAAGCCAATCCAAATATGCAGTGTGCATTAGAAAATTTGGTAACCTGTAATATCCCACTGGTAGGCAAAATTTTGACACCAACTCCTCCATTAAAATAAAAAAAGATTAAGACAAATACAGAATATATAAATAAAGGAATAACACCATTATAATAAAAAAAGTATTTTATCATTAATAAATAAAAATAATTTTTCTCCATAACAAATTGGATGAATAGCAACATTGCTAGTGCAGTGGATTTATCATTATTTTAGGTAAGTGAGGAGAAAGTACTTCTGTAGCATAACCTTTATTTTTTATAAAAAAAAAAGTTTACAACACACTGAGGACTGTAACTTTTTTATTGTTACAGATGTTAATTAGCACTTAGCCGTCACTCAAAGTTAGGTGCGCGCATTTACCTACTTATTTTATATTAAAAAAATAACTTAAGTCTCATGTGGTAAGAAAAATATGCTTGGTCTGACCAATTTGGAAAACTACAGCCGATTTTGAGACTTATTATTTTGATCAAGACAAAACCTAAGGTAAAAAATACGGATAGGACAAAACTTGTTTTGTCTTTCAGCATTTTTGCGGAAAAATCTTATGTATGTTTTGAGTTTAAAATAAATATGTAGAAATGTTATGCTAATTAAAATTTTATTATGTATTAAAAATATCAAAATATTACCGAGCATCATCACCAACACCATTTTCAATCGGGGCCGGATTTGAGGTAGACATTTTGATGCAATTTTTGACCCCTTTGATTTACGTTATATTTTGATCTTGGCTTATGTCCGCTTCACATTATCATTAGTATCTGAAATAGGGCAAATAAAAAACTGGTAAATAAGTTATTTAATAATAATTGTTATATAAAAAAGTGTTTATTTTTGTTTGTACTTTTTTAAAATTCAAACAAAACGTTCGTAAAATGACAATGACAAAACATCCATCTCTTTTTCATTTTAGTGACATTTTATGTCAAAATGGTAAACCAAGGTTCCAAAGAATACACCGCCCAGAATACAATTTCTACTAATTTCCGTTTATTACGTAAATAAAGCATAAGATTATGCATAATTTGAATCAAGCTTAATTAATAATTAATAGATATTACTATGCTTTGCAATTTAACTTAAAAAAAAATCTTTAAAAGTTTGATTTGCCAAATTTTCTTTTCAACTTTATGATCTTTGCCGCTGTCAGTTACGAGATGACAGGTGATCGATGTCAAATCTTAAAAACAATAACAAATAAATAAAAAAGGTTGTTATTTAGCAATATACATTGTGTGTAAAAATTAATCATTAAAGTGTAATTACAAGTAATCTGAGTTGTAATAATGACTATACAAAACTCTAAACCGGAGCCGGAGGGTGAGTCAATTTCCGATTATTCTGTTTCATTTTACACATTATGAAGATAATTCTTTAGTGTTGTATTCATTTCTTTACATCAAACAATTAAATAGGTATTTTATTTAGCAAATATTATAACGATTTATTCTTATACATTCTAATAGCAATAATAAATATTCCTAACCTAAAATTATAAACAATGTCTTCCATCAAAATTTATCAATGACGGTCAAAGATTAATTGATAAATACAATCTGTACTATTTTAGTATCCCATTGTAAATTTGGCCTTCATAAGTATGTGTGTGAATGATGTAGCATTGATATTGATGGGCATCTGATTTTACTATAGAATATTAATATATTAACTGTCTCACCCGCGACTTCATTAGTAGCCTATGTGTTCTTATAGACAATGTTCTAGATCTGTGTCAAATTTTAGCAAGATCCATGCGGCCGTTTTGGAGTTACCATCAAAGAAACATCCATCCATCCATCTGCTTAGATGCTTATTTACATTTACAATATTAGTAAGATAGCTTAGGGAAGTACAAACCTACTCATCTTTATAATCTTTCAATGCATTACACATGTTGTGTTGAGTTATAGAAACCTAACAAGTGTAATCATTTGTTCTCCACTATTACATGTATATATTAATCTCACATAAACATAGTATCATTTGTGTATAATTTTTATTTCTAATAAGCTATATCATCTTCAGCTCACTATATGTCCCCACCAAGGGGCTCGGAGCCAACCCTAAATTAAGGGTGATTAGGTCAACCACGCTGGCTAAGTGCGGGTTGGTTGACTAAGTAACTAATAAGCTATAATGAAGATAAATATGTTTTATGTGATTCAACAGTGGAAATTCACAGTTATTTTCTTTAATTTAATATTTTGTTTAAATTATACTGAATCAATCTTCGCACTGCAACAAAAAAGACATTTTGTTGTAAGGGTAAAAGGGTTTATACAAATATTTACATAGTATAGTTACATATTTATATTACTATCTTTGTTAAATTAAAATATATACAATGCCTGATTATTAGGTCATATATCATTGACTTGTTGTTCCCCCCGATTGCATCTGAGCATTATTAAACAAATAATTAGTACCCTATGTGTTCTTCCAGATTATACTCTACATCTATACATAGATACCTTTTAACAAACATCCATCAATTTATCTAAACTATCTAATTTATAATATTAGTAAGATTTAAATTTAATTCTCCTCAAATCTATAACTTCTACTCCAATTTAAATACCTCAATCAAAGTTAATATACATACAATTATATACATTAGTGATACAACCAGGAAACAGATTAGAGTCAACAAGGTTATGCTGCCATTTTGGGTTTAAATTTTTCATTGGTATAATTTAATTATGGTGACCAATATATTGCACATTGATAATTATCTCTTCCAAATGGATTAGTGTCATTGTTTTTTCTCCTCCTGATGATGTCATTTTTGTTATTGTGCCTAATATTTCTATATAATAAAAGTTATTATTAATATTTCATAGTGTCTTTATTTCTTAGACATGGTATAACTCTTTTCATATATCTTGTATGAGCCAATACATTTCAAATCCTCTCTCCCTTGCTATAAATGTGTTCTGCGCAGCAACTAGAGTGAACTTAAGAGATGCCAAGATATCTGAAAACATTTATACTACTCTATTTGTTAAGCATTCCCAACAAATGATTATCAACCTGCCCTTATCCCTATGGTCTTGTCAAATTTAAAAAAAATGTACTATCTTATATTATTCATCATAGCTTAAAAAACATAATCTGCAGTATACCTTGAAACCTTAGACTTTCCTTGGCGTAAAAGCAAATTATGTTACCATTAAAAACGCAAAAAAAAAATGATTTCTTATCTTCATTGTTAGTTTTCTACTTGCAAAGCTATAAAAAACGTTTGATTGATTTTTTTAACTATTTAATGCTATAAAAAAATTATTTATATGACCAGTTCAACCTTTTCATGTAATACATGTATAGAAAAATGAGTTGATCACACATGTAATATCAAGCAACCACTTTTCATTGCCGAATACTAATAAAAAAGTTTAATGTTGATACAATTTTTATAGTGTTGGTACTAATCGTATAGTCACGATGTAATACTGGACAAATACAAAAAAAAGGTTACTCCGTTGATACAGAATTTAACTCAAGGTAGCAAATCAAACGACTTTTAAATAAAAAAAAGATACGATTCTTTTCGATAGCTTTTTCAAAGATATCCCTTTGTTTTATTTAATTACGTAATTGTAGGGTGAAAAGTACACCTAACTTAATTTACTTTTTAACCATAGAGTCTCTAAACTTTTTTTTAACATTAAAGAGAGTATTTTTAAGACTAAGCACAAATAAAACCAATAGTAGCAAGTATTATGAACTAAACGTAAGGTGTAGATTTATAGTTATTTTAAAGTATTTTTAAGCTACTCAGCTCAGCGTATGTTACGGGTTCATTGACTTCTTAACAGACAAATATTTAGTTCATTCAATGAATGCCTTCTTTATAATACATGAGTATAGTACAGCACTTGACCCTTAGTTATTGTTGATTGTTTCAGTTAAATAGAACACATGAATTGATACTTTGGTAAACCGAAATAAAAAGTATTAGATGTCGTTGTTACGATTCAAATCACAATGCGTATGAACTCCCGCCATGTTGTGACGTTCTAAATTTAAAAGTTGAAAAAGAATTGGCTCGCATTTTTTAATCTACGTTTTGAAGTTTCCAAATTCAATTTTTTTTTAATACTTTTATAACGATTTTTATAGATTTTACCTCCTTACTGCAATTTAATGTAGTCAAGTCAAGAATTAAAAATATATGTTTTAAAAATAATTAGTAATCAAATGTATGTTTTGTTTTTATCCTAAAGAATTGTTCAAACAACGATAGTCTTAATATTATAACTCCTTACTATGTATGTAAAGGTATTGTAAATCCATCTTTCAAAACAGGATTATCCACCATAATAGATGGATTCATGATGTTAATTGTATAATTGTAAAGATTAACTAGAATTCTCGAACTCAGTCTCGAATGGTCACTAAGGCTAGATTTCTCATACTAAAACCACTTATAGAAAAGGGTGATAATAGAAAGCAACACGATCATCTTGTCGTCACTAAAGAAACAAGAAACTATATCTTGCAATCAAAAGAATCAAAGGATTATTATAAAAAGATAGGCAAATATTATATGTAAATAAAAATAACATTTCTACGCAATATTCCAGACACAAAAACGGCGACCGGGAAGCTATAAACTTTTATTCTAAGGTATGAAGTCCAAGGAGAAATATATTAAGATTTAGAACAGTATTATATGTGGATGGGTTACGTAAAAATGACGCAAATCCATAGGGGTCATTTAAATAAAGCAGGGGGCGTGCCTCGCTTGCGTCAGAAATCAAATTGAACGTCGTAAACTGATTCAATCTGAACCGATAGCTGGCAATAATGAAGTGGAATTCGTTGTTTAGAAATAGACACTATACCTCGTTCCTATATTAAGAAAATAGAGGGATGTCAAATTGTATACATTAAGGGGTCAGTATAATTTTTCAGTTATTTTGTGAAAATTCTTTGATAAAGAGAAGTGATATTATAAAGTCAGTAATTAATCATACTTCTTATCTTACTATTGTAAGGAATCTTTGTTACTCCATTATACACGTGGTCCCGGACACCCTGTAGAACATAGTCTAGAAAAGTCTTTCCTAAAGTGGGCGATAACGCCCCCTTGTGGGCGCTGCAGGTCTCAAGCGGGGCGGTAAGAGACCCAGAAAGAAAATGGAGGTGTTGTGTAGAGGCCTGGGGGGTGATTTGTAATTTTATTTAGCTAGGAGGCCTCTCAGACAACGACTGCATGAGCTCGACTCTTAGCAACAACTTGTGAAAAAATATTTATTCTCAAAGTGGGCAGTAGACAAAATGAGTTTGGGAACCACTGGTCTAGAAGTACATATAGGCTACTAATTATCAGTCGTATGCAGTCGCGGACAACAGCTAGTGTTATATAATTAGTTAAGTAAGAAATAGTGTCATATACACAAAAGCTATGGAAAATTTAAAAGTATAAGACATTGTGACGCACAAAAAGGTACGTCAAAGGATTTAGTTAATTGTTTATTTTTATTATCTTTGGCTGACTGTCACTTGAATTAATATAAATACGAAATAAACTGATGGAAAATTTATAATTCGTTTTCATCATAATATTTTTGTTTTGAATTCCCCACAATATGGAATAATGAGTGACTAATGTGTTATTAAGTTCTAGATTGTTTGTGGTTTGCAGAAATCAAAGAAATAAGCTTTTAATACGTTGTTTAAAGAAACTGTAAGAAAGAGTAAAAACTAATAAACGTATACAAAGAAAGAATATAGGACAACTAACTAATTAAGAACAAAT